TAATAACGGTCCACTAAACAACATAGGAGATCATATGATCATTTTTCCTGTTCAACGAAAAGTGATTGTCGTTTATCACCCTGATTAGATAAAAGAGAATTAGTATTTAAAAGAGGATCACTGTGATCAATACCATTTGATTGATCCAAATTAGAAATGAAAAAAACCTCACCAAAAGCCTGACCAATACATGTGTCAGCTAAAGGAATATCTTCCTTATGAAAATCATTCTCACGAGCTTTCTTTGATTTACTGAGGGCTGCCAAACACGTTTATTAAAAACACTTTTCCTCCACCAAATATTGGACCATATTTTTTAAATATCTCGCTTCGATAAGGAAGATTTCATTTTCTGGCAATTTCAAACAAGTCATCTTTCTAGAACTATCCAAAAGCTGTTCGGTTGGATTATAATTAAATGTTTGCACTTTTGATGACATTGTAAATGAACGCCTGATGTTTTCATTGAAGATTGCAAACAAAATTGTAAAATAGTACTTGGGATTTACAAACTAATGGAATTTATATTTATAAAAGATATGAAATATTTAAATAAAAATTCATAAATCCAAGGACGATCTACCCAAATTTGTTTGTTACGTGACAAGGGCTAATACTCAGTAACAGAAAATAACGAAATAGTACATGGTTTTGTACATTTTAACAACGCAATGTATTTCCATAAGCCACAATGTAAAAATTGGTAAACATGACTTAAAGTTTGTGAAAATAAACTAATATTTTTATCCTCAGCATGAAAATACAAGTCCCCTCACTAAATAATTCACGTTTTAATCCTGACGACGCACAAATATACAAGGCGGTTAGGTCAGATGTGATCCAATGTATGGATATCAACAATTCCTCGCTTGACTCACAGTCTATGTTTCCGAATAATTCCAGAATACATGTCCATTAAAATCTTGTAAACATCCTTTGTAAATGGTCGACATTTTGAGCTGTCCAGGGGTATACATTATTAAATCTAAAAATCAGACAAAAACAAACAATCTGGCAACAAATAAAAACACCAAACACCTTGTTCCTTTAAAGTGTTAGAACAACTCTGTCTAAAAATAATAGAAATGCGTACTTAATACCCAGAAACCCCATTTCAAGTCTCGCGAGATTGGTTACGTGGTCTCTTACTACACTAGATTTAGCAAGTATAACAATTGGTCCTCACTTAAGAACCAATCATAAAAAAACATGTTTACAGATAATGATTACGCAAAGAAAGTTTTCCCCTGTTACTTACCAATCATCTCAACTTCCTGTTGCCAATGATGCCAAATAAAGGTGAACTAAGGTAACTAAAATATAAATATCACGTAATACTTCTTAGTCTTACAAACAACATTGTTGAGAGAAAATATATCATTACTGAAAATGAATCCGGCATCCGACAAAACAATCATTGTGATAAAAAGCAATGAAACAAAAATAAAATCAAAAGAATTTTAAAACTTACACATAAGCAATTTAATCACATATACGTGAATCATTCGATCTTTATCAAAGCTGCATATCGGTACAAAAAGTATCACTATGTATTAGTATGTAGTCCAGGATTCTCTCTTTTTATCTACTACTGTTTAACAGCACAAGACTTATATGTCACATGTATGACAACATTATTATATTATAAAAACATATACGGTTGAATATAATAAGTGGCTCTGAATTAAAACAACTTAAGATAAATTATATTTAAAATTGGGAGAAGATGCCTAGACATACTCATTTCCTAAACTCACTCTCATAATACTATATATATATATATATATATATATATATATATATATATATATATATATATATATATATATATATATATATATATATATATATATATATATATATATATATATATACATTCTTATATATGTACTGTGGGAGGCAAATTTCATGGCTGAATAAACATGTCTAGCTTGTAGTAAAGGCAGTATCAAAAGTGAAAAAAAAACACAAATGTGCTTAAGGTTTGGTGAAAAATACTTACTTTTCCTTCACGATAATTTAAATTCCTGCATATTTATGAATTATTTGTTAATGTTTACTTGGATTTTGTTTAAATATCACTAGTAATTTTCAATCAAGAATTTAAATATTTGCCAATATAAGAGGTTGTATAAATTATTACGCTCCCTAACATGTAATTGTATGGGGTGTGTCTGCTTGAAGGGATGTAATACATTCTGAATATTACATGAAGCATTAATTAAAATTATTTTCCCCTATTCAATTATAACCATCTGATGCGAACTATCCACTTTCTTTCAAACATTAACCTGACGTTCCCGATTAATTTATGTAAAGGACATTAGTTTTGTCTGATATTATCCAGAGGCGTTTGTCGTCCTTTTTTATATAAAAAAAAGGAATTAATCGTTTATTCGTCAATTACATATTTGAAAATTGTTTCATTATTATGATATACACGTAGTCATTTTCCATCAAAAAAAACACAATGGTATTCTTCTATTGAACAAATACTGCCGCTCCAAACTCAGGTAAACTTTTTAAGGTATGTGGTCTATACGTAAATAATATAGATCAGTAAGACAAGGAGTAAGAAAATAAGAAGTTTTAATAATAGTAAAAAATAGAATAATAAATGCATTATAGTTGAATTTTGTTATTCTTGTTTTGAGGCTTAGAACCATTTTTCAGCAAGCACACGATAGGCTATACATGGCAGCCGGTATTAATGGTGGAGGCTGAAACCGGGAAATCCGCGGAAAGAGCTATCGACCCACGAAAAGCTAATCGCAGGCGTTCTCATATATCCACATTCGCGCTCTAGACCACTTAGCCACTCGGGGCCCCTGGAATATAAATGATGCAAAATTACAAGGGTAAGATTTTTACAAAAATTAATATATATTAATATATATATAATTATATATGTATATATAATTAGGCTTAAAATTCTTACTCTCTGTGTATATAAATACATAGATACATACATACATAGATCCATAGATACATACATAGACGCATCCATCCATCCATAATTACACACACACACTCACACACAACACACATACATGCATGCATGCATGCATATATGCATGCATGCATGCATGCATGCATACATACATACATACATACATACATACATACATACATACATACATACATACATACATACATACATACATACATACATACATACATACATACATACATACATACATACATCCATACATCCATCCATCCATCCATCCATCCATCCATCCATCCATACATACATACATACATACATACATACATACATACATACATACATACATACATACATACATACATACATACATACATACATACATACATACATACATACATACATACATACATACATAACCTTAATATGCTTGCTTCTGTTTTATTTTGTTGTACCAGATATTTACCTTTATTATTAAGGTTTTTTTTTCTGCCTAGATTTCTGTAACATTTCTTTATTTCTAACCCATTCGCCCTTTATATGGATACATATTTAGTAAAATTATGCCCCGACATTCACAGAGAATTATCACGGTACGCTATCATATTTATAAGATTTTTCTGTCTCAGTATTTTCAGTATACTGAAAAGAATTTAATGAAACCTACATATTTTTGTCTTTGCAGACTGCTCCAATATTATGTAAGATAATGGTATCCATTTGCTTAAAAATCTCGAAAAAAAACTTCATTCTCTACGTGAATGACGCATAGGAACTGACAGTGGTAACTGAGGACGTCGCCGTTATCTATGTAGTGACGTTTGATATTTATGACGTTATTCATGCTCATCGCAACAGATTGTTTAACGTTCCCGTTGTTGCTATAACTCCTACTCGGGAACACAATTGAGTTGATTAGCTGTCTTTTAGTACAAATGCTAATATTTAGATTTACTGTTTTTTTTCTTCACTATTTCTTAAACAATTATCCGTAGTTTTAATTCTGGAAAAAGGAAAATAAACTAAAATGAATTCATCGAGAATGGATATCAATATATAGACAAGAGGGAATGCATCATGGTGGATATGGGAACTTTGACTTGTGATCTGACATTTCGATTATTTGTCTTGCAAGGTCGATTTTACACTTGCTTGCATTCAAACGTTATACATATCATCAGCTTACTGCATCAGTGTGATCTGATTCCTAATTAGTTCATAATGTCTTAATATGGGTATGTATAATTGACAATCTTATCTTGATAAGAACAAATAATAAATGCGTACGATACGGTATGGCGTCTTACATAGTGCAGATAATATTGCTTTGACGTGCGTGTTAGGTTTGCCTATTGTTTTCTGTCACCATACAACGTGGAATCGGATTATAATTATTACCTCCTGTTCGGTATTAATGTAGTCCCAGTCGATTTTTAGAGTTGTTTCCCCCTCTCTTCTTGTGGTTTTTATACGAGAGTTTGTTGTAGGCATTCTTAATTTGAAGGTAATTGTTCATGCTTTAGAGCGTGAGCAATTCAGCAATGGCTCAAATGGAATAATAGAGATATGATTATGTGATGATGATTTTTAACATAGCTTTAACAATTTTTCAGTCATATTGCTACGATGTCTGCAGTGTGGTAGTTTATAGTGATGTCTGGCACTGGGGCATCAAGCAGCGGACATGTAGCATATTGTCTCACCCATTCACATTATCCCGACACTATGACGACCAGTCCTACCACACCTTTATGATTCTTAAAATTAAAAGCAGATTTGATTGTTTCATAACATTTATATAATTTTTCTTTCTAAAGCGGACAAAGCACTAAGTTATCAATGATTATGAACGAAATGGACATTTCTTTTTCAATAAGAATTACAGCTTAGAATAACAGACGAATGACAATCTGTCATCGATGACGACAGCATATTTTTTCATAAGAGGGATATTCTTCATAAATAATTTTTAACTGAGTATATTTTAAATATGAGCTATTAATGCTAAGCGTCAAGCCAGGCAGCTCTTAGTACCATTGTTATGTCTTTGACATGGTTCGACAGGAGATCGAACCCACAACCTCTAGCATCCGAGGCGGACGCTCTAACCACTAGGCCATCGGAGCGGTCACAGTGAATAATAAGGCATTTGACATATGTGTGTGTGTGTGTCTGTCTGTCTGTCTTATGTATGTATGCATGCATGCATGTATTCATGTATATTATTCACATTCTTTGTATACATACTATGCAAATTCCCTACATACATACAGTGCACCTTCTATCTATGTTTAATATTAGCGATGTATGTATGAATGATATGCATATCCCATGCATGCATATTGTGCACATGATATGTATGCATAATGTTTACAGTAGATTTAAGAATGATATACATATTCTATGTATACATACTATGCACATGATATGTATGCATAATATTTATAGTAGATTTAAGAATGATATACATATTCTATGTATACATACTATGCACATGATATGTATGCATAATATTTACAGTAGATTTAAGTGCATACTATGCATATTCTATGTACACATTATAGGCACTTTCTATGTACGCAAACTATGCACTTGCAATGTATAAATACAGTGCACATTCTTTGTATGCATACTATGCATATTTTTGTATGCATATTATGCCCATTTATTCAGGATGAAACGCTAAAATAAGATATTAATAAATAAATGGGTCGGTCATTCTGGAATTTCCTTTTGCGGTCCATTTTTATACCGACTTGCAGTCACTATCACCATCTTTCTGTATCTGTGTGACATGGGTCCTGCTCAGTGTTTCGTTTGTTAATGAATGTGTGGATGGGTATGATACTACTGAGAAGATTCTCCCTTTTAGTAAAATTGGAAATCTTGTGCAGGAAAATACTGTTATCAATTTAAATTATTGCAGATAACGGTAATTGTAGTGAGGATTTCCGATGTTCAGGGGAGATTACTTAATCCGCAACTGTTTTCAACGCAGGAAATGGTTTTCTCCCTTGAACACCGTCCTGATGAATTATTACCTAATGTTGGCGTGAAATCTGGAAACAAAATTATGTTTGCCCAGACGTTCACTAGATGGAGAATTTTAGTCTAAACAAGTGTCTTATTTGAAGTTAAATATACAAACTACACAAATCAATAAGCAAGAGGCGATATGTGGTGTGTAATCATCACCAATGATCACCAAAATGAAGCTATATTACTGCAAGTTATTACAATGTCAAGGCGCACTCTTACATTTAAACAACTGGGAGTTGGAAAAATATCTTCTCAGTGGATAGGACTATCATATTTCAGACTCAATAAAACTGATCCTTGGCAAAGTATAGAAGTATTGATATTAGAATTATACTAGATATTGAAGTTCTAAGTCTAATTTATGAAATTAAGATATTAACTATGTGTTTTAAAATTCGTTCAGTTACGAAATTGTTAATGGATTGCTAATAATTCCCTATTAGGCACATAATAATTTACAGAAGTAACTGATGCCTAAAATTAAAGTAGACACCCATGTCTTGCTATATTTACTACTAAACATCACTACATATCCAATGAATTTGGGTTATAATACTAGCTCAAACAAAAACAAAATTAAATATTTTTCAGGAATAATTTTCAGTTTAAATGCAATTCAATAAACAATTTCTAGATATTTTTTTAAAATGCTATTATTCATATCTTTTGCACGTTATAGATTTCGATCTGTCCCTTTTTCACAAAGAGATGAGGTAAGACAGACCTGCTATTTTAGGGGATGGCATGGATTCTTACGGAAACACTGCTGCTTTTGTTGTTTTTTCTGTTTCGCCTACAAATTCTGAATTTGCTAAGTTACAACTACGATAAAATCCGCTATGATGTATGGAAGCCGAACGAATTTTGATTGAAATGATTGATATGACTAACCTCATTCCCTGAGAAACACGTAGTACTGCCATGAAGCAGATATTTGTTCCCTTGATATATTCGTCTGAGTTCTCCGATCCCGATTTACCTGCCATTTGCAATAAAACCAAATTGCTCGAACAACATGGCGTAACTGTGAAAACGCTGCATGTAATACACACCAGCGGAGGGAAACTATGGCTACTTAACGTCATGACGACACAATAGAGGGCACATGATTCCATATAGCCACCATACCTTTGAAAGAGTAGCTTCTGTACATTGAACAAGAAGCAAGAGAGGATGCTAATGAAATCATATGAAAAATGTGCCACTGTCCATGTAATCAATTAAACTTCAAAATTTTTCACCTCTTTCACGTTTAAAATTCATAAATGGCGGTTATTATTTTGTTATGCCAGTGTTACTTTTCTGGCCCTTTGAAACCTCGTGAGGTGATACATTCTTCCATTTTAAATCAGCTATTTTATAATAAAATAATTTTTGCTAACTCTTAAGCCGATCAATTAAAGTCGTGCTATTTTATAGCTAGGTTGATTGTATTTCTTAATTTGGACCATATCGTACTTTATTTCTTTTGCACCTTTAAGTGCAACACTGCAACACATTGCTGCCTCTTTATTTGTTAATGTTACCTTATGTAATCGACTGGATTGAGAGTCTGACCTTTGTATGAGAGTCAAACGTGTTATGCATAATATGCACATTCAATGTGTACATAAGATGCACATTACATGTATGCATAAGATGCACTTTCTATGTATGCATACTTTGTACATTCTGTATGGGCATAATATGCGCATTCAATGTGTACATACAATGCACATTACATGTATGCATAAGATGCACATTCAATGTGTACATAAGATGCACATTACATGTAGGCATAAGATGCACTTTCTATGTATGCATACTTTGCACATTCTGTATGGGCATACTATGCACTTTCTATGTGTACATAAGATGCACATTACATGTATGCATAAGATGCACTTTCTATGTATGCATACTTTGCACATTCTGTATGGGCATACTATGCACTTTCTATGTGTACATAAGATGCACATTACATGTATGCATAAGATGCACTTTCTATGTATGCATACTTTGTACATTCTGTATGGGCATAATATGCACATTCAATGTGTACATAATATGCACATTACATGTATGCATAAGATGCACGTTCTATTTATGCATACTTTGCACATTCTGTATGGGCATAATATGCACATTCAATGTGTACATAAGATGCACATTGCATGTATGCATACGATGCACATTCAATGTGTACATAAGATGCACATTACATGTATGCATAAGATGCACTTTCTATGTATGCATACTTTGCACATTCTGTATGGGCATAATATGCACATTCAATGTGTACATAAGATGCACATTACATGTATGCATAAGATGCACTTTCTATGTATTCATACTTTGTACATTCTGTATGGGCATAATATGCACATTCTATGAATTTCTACTGTGCAAACTATATGTATGCAAATTCTGAAAAATACATGTATGCGTAATATGCACATCCTATGCAATCCATAACATGATTAATCTATTTATGCGTACTATGTACATTTATTCAGGATCCAAACTTACAAATAAAAAAGACATAAATAAATGATGTGAACAATGACTTTGGATCTGACAACAAATTTTTTTCACGTACGCTCGATTTTCATATTTGCTTGCAGTCACTGATATTCAGTTGAAAATATCGCCATCTTAATTCATCTGTGCGACTTGGATCATTCTCAGTTTATCATTCCTTCATGAATAAGTGAATAAAGGTGATGCCATTGATAAGACTCCATTTATTCGTACAATTGACGATGCTGGGCAATCAAAGACAGGAAACTACTTTGTCAGTTAAAATTACTGCATAAAACATTAATTATACCTTGGGTTAACATTTATCAAAGGAGACAACCCGTGCTTGTTTTTAATAAGGGAAAGAGTTGTCTTCCTTGAACTGTGTTTTGAAAGATTATTATTTGAAGTTGCGTGTGATATCTGGAGGAATATCGTGTTCGCTCAGAAGTTCATTAGACTCAGAGTTCCATTCAAAAACGAATGAAACTTGTATTTAAATGTATCATAGATACACGAAAAAAATTGAATATGTATGATACTTGTATTTAAATGTATCACATATACATAACAAGAAAAGAATATGTATGATACTTGAATTTAAATGTAACACATGTGCAAGAAAAAATGGAATGTATATGCTACATGTATTTAAATGTATCACCGGTACATGAAACGAATGGAATATGTATGATACATGTATTTAAATGTAAATGATCACATGTACATGAAAAGAATGGAATAGGTATGATACTTGTATTTAAATTAATCACTGGTACATGAAAATAATAGAATATGTATGATACTAGTATTTAAATGTAAATGATCACGGGTACTTGAAAAGAATGGAATATGTATGATACTTTTATTTAAATGTAAATGATGACTGGTACATAAAAAGAATGGAATAGGTATGATAATCGTATATAAATGTAAATGATCACGGTTACATGAAAAGAATGGAATATGTATAATACTTTTATTTAAATGTAAATGATCACTGGTACATAAAAAGAATGGAATATGTGTAATAATTGTATTTAAATGTAATTGATCACGGATACATGAAAAGATTGGAATATATATGATATTTTTATTTAAATGTAAATGATGACTGGTACATAAAAAGAATGCAATATGTATAATACTTGTATTTAAATGTAGTTGATCACGGTTACATAAAAAGAATGAAATATGTATAATACTTGTATTTAAATGTAAATGATGACATGTACATGAAAGGAAAGGAATATATACAATACTTGTACTTAAATGTAAATGATCACAGGTACATGAAAAAGTGGAATGTATATGATACTTGTATTTAAATGTATCACAGGTACATGAACATAATGGAATGTGTATGATACTTGTATTTAAATGTATCACAGGTACATGAACATAATGGAATATGTATGATATTTGTATTTAAATGTAAATGATCACAGGTACATGAAAAAGTGGAATGTATATGATACTTGTATTTAAATATATCACAGGTACATGAACATAATGGAATATGTATGATATTTGTATTTAAATGTAAATGATCACATGAAACGTGATAATGATGGAATATGTATGATAC